TACCACAAAAATAGAAAGAAACCAATATCACTGATTAACACAGACGCAAAAGTCCTCAAAAAAATAATAGCAAACTGAATCCAACAATACATTAAAAGGATAATACACCATGATCAAGTAGGATGCAAGGATTTTTCAATATCCACAAATCAATCAGTGTGATACACCACATTAACAAACTGAAGAAGAAAAACCATATGATCATCTAATAGATGCAGAAAAAGCTCTTGACAAAACTCAACACCCATTTATTATAAAAACTCTCCAGAAAGTAGGCATAGAACCTACCTCAATATAATAAAGGCCATATATGACAAACCCACAGCTAACATCAGACTCAACGGTGAAAAGCTGAAAGCATTTTCTCTAGGATCAGAAACAAGACGAGGATGTCCACTCTTGCCACTTTTTTTCAACATAGTTTTGGAATTCCTAGCCACGGGAATTAGAGAAGTAAATAAATAAAAGGAATCCTAATTGGAAAAGAAGTAAAACTGTCACGGTTTGCAGATGATGCGATACTATACAGAGAAAATCCTAAAGATGCCACCAGAAAACTACTAGAGCTCATCAATAAATTCGGTAAAGTTGCAGGATACAAAATTAATACACAGAAATCTGTTGCATTTCTATACATTAACAATGAAAGATCGGAAAGAGAAATTAAAGAAACAATCCCATTTACCAATGCATCAAAAAGAATAAAATATCTAGGAATAAACCTGCCTAAGGAGGAAAAAGGCCTATACTCTGAAAACTATAAGATGCTGATGAAAGAAACTGAAGGTGACACAAACAAATTGAAAGATAGACTATGTTCTTGGATTGGAAGAATCAATATTGTCAAAATGACTATACTACTCAAGGCAATCTACAGATTCAATGCAATCCCTATTAAATTACCAATGGCATGTTTCACAGAACTAGAACAAAAAAATTTAAAAATTTGTATGGAAACACAAAAGACCCGAATAGCCAAAGCAATCCTGAGAAAGAAAAATGGAGCTGGAGGAACCGGTCTCCCTGATTTCAGACTATACTACAAAGCTACAATAATCAAAACAGTATGGTACTGGCACAAAACCAGAAATATAGATCAGTGGAACAGGATAGAAAGCCCAGAAATAAACCCACGTGCCTATAGTCAATTAATCTATGACAAAGGAGACAAGAATATACAATGGAGAAATGGTGCTGGGAAAACTGGACAGCTACATGTAAAAGAATGAAACTAGAACATTCTCTAACACCATACACAAAAATAAACTCAAAATAGATCAAAGACCTAAATGAAGACTGGATACTGTAAAACTCTCAGAGGAAAACATAGGCAGAACACTCTGACATAAATCACAGCAATATCTTTTTGGATCCACCATCTAGAGTAATGAAAATAAAAATAAACAAATGGGACCTAATTAAACTTAAAAGCTTTTGCACAGCAAAGGAAACCATAAACAAAATGAAAAGACAACCTACAGAATGGGAGAAAATATTTGCAAATGAAGCAACTGACAAGGGATTAATCTCCAAAATATACAAACAGCTCATGCAGCTCAATATCAAAAAACAAACAACCTGATTGAAAAATGGGCAGAAGACCTGAATAGACATTTCTCCAAAGAAGACATACAGATAGCCAAAAAGCACATGAAAAGATGCTCAACACTGCTAATTATTAGAGAAATGCAAATCAAAACTACAATGAGGTATCACCTCACATGAGTCAGAATGGCCATCGTCAAAAAGTCTACAAACAATAAATGCTAAAGAGGGTGTGGAGAAAAGAGAACTCTCCTACACTGTTGGTGGGAATTTAAATTGGTACAACTACTGTGGAGAACAGTATGGAGGTTCCTTAAAAAACTAAGAACTACCAGGCTTCCCTGGTGGCACAGTGGTTGAGAGTCCGCCTGCTGATGCAGGGGACATGGGTTTGTGCCCCGGTATGGGAAGATCCCACATGCTGCGGAGCGGCTGGGCCTGTGAGCCATGGCCGCTGAGTCTGCGCGTCCGGAGCCTGTGCTCCGTAATGGGAGAGGCCACAACAGTGAGAGGCCTGCGTACTGCAAAAAAAACAAAAAAACAAAAAAACTAAGAACTACCATTTTATCCAGCAATCTCACTCCTGGGCATATATCCAGAAAAAAATCATAATTCAAAACGATACATGCACTCCAGTGTTCAGTGCAGCACTGTTCACAACAGCCAAGACATGGAAGCAACCTAAATGTCCATTGAGAGGAATGGATAAAGAAGATGTGGTACATATATACAATGGAATACTACTCAGCCATAAAAATGAACGAAATAATGCCATTTGCAGCACCATGGATGGACCTAGAGATTATCATACTAAGTGAAGTAAGTCAGACACAGAAAGACAAATATCATAGGATAACACTTATATGTGGAAGTTAAAAAAATGATACAGGGGCTTCCCTGGTGGCGCAGTGGTTGAGAGTCCGCCTGCCGATGCAGGGGATACGGGTTCGTGCCCCGGTCCGGGAAGATCCCACATGCCGCGGAGCAGCTAGGCCCGTGAGCCATGGCCGCTGAGCATGCGCGTCCAGAGCCTGTGCTCCTCAACGGGAGAGGCCACAACAGTGAGAGGCCCGGGTACAGCAAAAAAAAAAAAAAAGAAAAAAAAAGATACAAATGAACTTATTTACAAAACAGAAACAGACTCACAGATTTCGAAAACAAACTTACTCTTACCAAAGGGCAATGGTAGGGGGAGGGATGAATTAGAAGTTTGGGTTAAAATATATATATAGTAGTGTTACTATATATAAAATAGATAATCAACAAGAACCTACTGTATAGCTCAGGAAACTCTACTCAATATTCTCTAATAATCTATATGGGAAAACAATCTGAAAAAGAATGGATATATGTATATGTATAACTGAATCACTTTGCTGTACACCTGAAACTAACACAACATTGTAAATCAACTATAATATAAAATAAAAATTAAATTTAAAAAATCTGTGCCCTAGACAGGTAATAAAACTGTATATGACTTGATACACACACACACACAACTGAGTACGAGTAAAACTGGGAAATCTGAACAAGGCTGGTGGATTACATTAACATCAATGTCTTGGTTGTGATATTCTACTACAGTTTTATAAAATGTTACTATTGGGAGAAACTGGGCAAAGTATATAAGGGATATCTCTCTATTATTTCTTACTGCATGTGAATCTATAATTATCTCAATAAATATGTAAATGAAAAGAGGATCCATGCATTTTAACTGCGAGGTATTTAACAAATACCTAGTAAATTTCAGAACCTCCTGGGGTTGGGCATTCTGATCAAATCTTAAGAAGAACAAAGTAATTTTGAAGACATTGCTGGCCTTTTTCTTGATTCATTATCTAGCTAAGAAATAGCAAAAGCCTACATCAAGAAGCAAGAAGAAATATCCAGCCAGAAGGCAAGGCTATGTGCCCTGTCAGTTTAGAGTGATAACCACACTGTTCGCTTTGGACAGCACTCTAAAGTGAGACAGACACCCAGGGGCTGCTCAGGTTCCCCCTCCCTGGCTGATCAACAGGGACCACAAGGACAGAAAGTGTCACGACTTAGGCTGCAGTGGACTGGAATGAGGGCGGTTACCACTCTGCTCTCCTGCAATGCTGTCCACTGAGAGGGATTACTGAAAACCCAGAACAAGGGAGGATTATGTTGCAGGAATTCAAACACACAATACGAGGAATGGTTAAAGAATCTGGAGAAATTTAGCTGGAGAAGAAAAGACCTGGGGGCAGAAGGCAGTAGGCCACCGATAATAACTAGTTTTTTCAAGAAAGAGAAGGGCTGCCTGGATGAAGAGGAATTGGATTTGTCTTTTATGACCCCAATTAGTGGTAACCCCATTGGAATTTTCAGTTATCAACCAAGAGAAGAGATCTGGTCCACGTTTTCTCTCTTCTAGGCAGTAAATAAAATGTATACTAACAGCAGTACTTCATAATGTTTACATGTTAACTCTCCAGGTCCCAAAAACAACTGCTGGCTCCAAAGCCAGAGCCTCTCCTTCCAGAGGAAGTTAGGAAACCAACGTCCATTGTCCTGATCCGATCGAGGCACACCAAACACTCCACTGTGAGCAACAGTGCCTTCCTGGGAATTCCCTGGCAGTCCAGTGGTTAGGACTCTGTGCTTCTACTGCACGGGGCATGGGTTCAATCCCTGGTCAGGGAACTAAGATCTCGCTGCCACGCCCTGTGGCCAAAACAAAAACAAAAAAACAAACAGTGCCTTCCCACCTACGCCCACCTCCCAGAGAGGAAGCTTAGAGAATGATCAATGCGAAACTAGATTTGGACCGAACTCAGTGATAACTGAGTTATCAGTGACTCAGTTATCAGTAACTCAGTTATCAGTAACTCAGTTATCAGTTATCCGTAACTCAGTGATTAGAAACAAAAAAACAAATGCGAAGGATATGAGCTAATTAATGAGCTTCACCTCACCTATCAAAGACTCACATTAAAGCAAGCTTTCAGTCCCCTGGATGTCAGCTGATCCCTCTGCTGCCCCCGAAGCAGTAATGTAATAAAAGGGGAGGGTAAATGGGGTCAGAAGACTGAGTTGGGCTCTCCCTCCATGGCCTACTGGCTGTGTGACCCTCGGTGATCACTAAAACAGTCCGGACCTCAGTTTCCTTAACTATAAACAAGGACAATGCTTCCTGCTGGTCAGGCTTATTCAGAAAATGCATGTTCAAGCTGAGGGTAGAGGAGGCTTCCAATAGAGGTTTGTCCCCTCTGAGCCTCTGTATGTTGGTGAACCACACCACCTTTCTTCAAAAAACTCCCTTTCACATTTTAACAAAGGAAAACAGTATCTTACCTCAATCAAAAACACGCCTATTACTACAGTTAATCGAAACAGAAGCGCACATGCGCACACACACACACACACACACACACACAGACCAGAAAATGTGGACTTAATTTCAATCCTGAATCAATAATACTTACAGCTATAACCCGGTAACCCCATCCAGTCAAAGCCAAAATCTGCCGGAAAAATACATCAGCAGTTCCGCTGACGGGAGGGAGAAATATGAGAGGACACCTGATATTTCTGGGGCCTGCATCGTAGAGCGACCAGATCTTACTGTCGTCATCATCCACAATAATCTGGAGGGAAAATTATAAGAAACAAAATGAAAAACCTCATGGATTGGGTTTTATATAGTTATTTCAGCACTATAATTTCACTGACAATTTTAATACTTCTGCCTTGGTTGTTACAAGCTAATGAGGGGATCACACCAGACCAGCACATATAAAAAACAGCTTTGTCTCCATTTCCTTCTTCAGTACTGACATAGTCCATGGAACTGCTTTATACTTCTCCCAAGAGCTGTTTTTTCTATCAGTTTTGAATTTTTCTCCCCAGCCATGATTATATGAAATTTATTGTTTACCATTAAACAGTAAACTCTGTACATGGCATCTGATTTATTCCCCATACTTCTGCCTGTGTGTGTGTGTGTGTGTGTGTGTGTATGCGCGCACGCACGCGTGCATGTGCGCATGCGTATGTGCACATAGGAGGAGGACAATTTGCAGAGTCATTCTTGGGTGCTGGCCCAGAGGGCGGGCTGGGATCAGCAGGGTCAGTGTGTGACTAGGGGAAGTGAGGGGAAGAAATGACTCCAGCCTCCAGGGAGAAACTGGGTAGAGATGGGACCTCTCAAAGAGATGCTTCAGGAGCCTGATCTAGACCAAGCCTCTGAAGGGGAGACCTCTGCTAGAGAGAAGGGACGAGGCAGGTATAAGCATCACTGTCCCCAGAGAATGTTTCAAACTATTCAGTCAATGTGGGGAATGGGCTCAGGGAAAAACTGGCTTTTGGGGGAAAAGGGGGTAAGAAGGAGGAAGGTCATCAGAAACCTTCCTGATTTAGTGGTTCTTGATCCAAAAAGGGACACAGATGAGCATTACATGAGCTGAGACAAATCAGGTGTTTAGCACAGAGGTTGGCAGACATTGAGTGTTCAACAGTGTCAAGAGTGTTAGCTACAGTATGCACTGCATGATAGTTTAATTTTTGTTCTCTTTGGCTGACTTTTTGGTATTTGGAAAAGTACATTAACTGCTTGAACTTCTGCCAATGCAAATCAACACTTAACCTTTTTACATTAGAAAGTTCAAGGTTCTATTTTCTGAGAGCTCCTAACTCTGAGAGCAGTGCTGTGGGGCCCATGGTGTCAATGTGGGTGGCGGCACACTAACCAAGGTCACCGGCATCACTGGGAGCAGACAAACAGGGCAGGGCAAAGCCCAGAGGGCCCTAACCAACACCTTCTGGACTTCCCCGGGTGACAGTATATCTCATGATTATGTTTTTGCCCTTTGTATTTGCCACTCACATTTTTGCTTTTCCTGTTTCTTTTTGCTATGATTGTAGTAAAAAAAATCTCAGTAACCTCTGACAGTGGTATGCGGTAAATTCCAACCTTATAATAATAAAATTCATATGAGATAAGATATTCAGATCTCTGAAATGAAAATCTAGCACTATGAAACTTCAAGCAAACTTTTCATGTCTTGTGGGCCAAACTGACCAAAGGAGAAAATAACATCAATGAAACTACTACTTCCAAGAATATTTAGGTAAGTTTGTGTTGTTTTGGGTCTGGTGATTAGCTTGCTGAGTGAGTCCATCAAGAGGAGCTCACATGAATGACTTGAGGGGATGGGACAAGGCAGAGGGACTCTGGGGGCAATTCTCCTAGCATGAGCAGTAGTTCCTGGGGTAGCAAGAAGAAAGGCGGGTTCCCTTTGGTAAGCTGCCAATTAGTTCTGGCTTTTTTTTTAAGGAATTTTTTCTTTTTTTAAAGAAGTTAATTAATTTTTGGCTGCGTTGGGTCTTTGTTGCTGACTGCGGGCTTTCTCTAGTTGCGGAGAGCAGGGGCTACTCTTTATTGTGGTGCACGGGCTTCTCATTGCCGTGGCTACTCGTGTTGCGGAGCATGGGCTCTAGGCGCACGGGCCTCAGTAGTTGTGGCACGCAGGCTCAGTAGTTGTGGCGCACAGGCTTAGTTGCTCAGCGGCACATGGGATCTTCCTGGACCAGGGATCGAACCCGTGTCCCCTGCACTGGCAGGCGGATTCTTAACCGCTGTGCCACCAGGGAAGCCCAGTTCTGGCTTTGAAGCCAGATTAATTTGATTTAAATTTAAACTCAACTAGACTGTGTGACTTTAACATGTTAACCTCCATGAACCTCAGTTTTCCCATCTGCTAAGTGGGCACACCACTATCCACTCTGTTAAACTGTTGAAAGAATTAAATAAGATATTTGGGGACTTCCTACAACAGTGCCAGGTATATAGCAGGTATTCTGTCTATACATGGAGACTGTATCTCAAATTTCTATATGAAGTGTAATTCTGTTATCAGTTCAAACTTGCATGATACTTCCACAGCTATCTATCCTGACAAAACAATTACAACAGAGACATCGATGTTCTTCAGATCATAGTACTCTAATATTTCTGCAAGGGGATCAGCAAAGATTTTATTCTGACACAACTTTTGTCTAGTGTGATCCCCAAACATTTGGGATTAACTTGGGACTCAGAGTCAACAAACTTCAATATAAGTGTTTAGCGTTTTTAGACATCCCAGGCATATAAAGTTTCCAAAAGATGACTATGGCAGAATGAGTATATATCATGGCAAACAGAGGACCTATAATGTGACTCACTGTAAATCTTAAATCTGAGGAACAGGAAAATGCTTTCTAATAGAATCTAACTGCACTTACTGTACAGTTGCAGTTGCTGTCAGCTTTCTACTAAACTATACAGAGGAGAATATACATATTGCTGCTTGCTTGAATATGTAAAAACAATTATAAAATAATGAGTACAGTTATTCTCACTTTTACTCTTGAATGAGTCTCAAAAGCTGATTGTACTCGACAGGGAAGGGGTGAACTTTAGGCTCTCCAACCCAGTCACAATACTTGGCAATAACCTTTACTCTCGAACACTACTAAGACATAACACCTAAATCACACATAAAAACAATTACAAGATTTTGCAAATAAGAGGTGTAGTAAAACCATACATACCTTTTTAAGGGGGACTGTACTTCTAAACCAGTTATAATCAGGAGAGACTTTAATCTCTCCCATGATTAGCTGAAATGGAGGTTAACCCTGAAATAAAAGCATGTGATGTTTCATGTCAAGAATTCATGTTTACATCAGCACTAAATGTAGAGTCTGATCTAGCTCTACCAACAATACTTTAAAGGATAAAACTGAGGAAATGGGCTATTTCACCTTGTCGGCATATACTTAAACTACAGAAAACAATTTGGTGAAAACCTATAATCATGGAGCAGGAAGGGCCCCAAGAGAGAATTATTCCAACCCTCTTAGTTCCTCCAGAAGAAGAATCTGGTCTAGAAAATTTTAATGACTTACCCAAGATCCCACGGCTATTGCAAAACCAGGACCAGACACCGGACAGCCTTTTCTGACACCTGACTGTCTGTCCTAGTTAAATGATTCCAAATGCAGTAGCATAACCTATCTTTGGACAAGATCTTAAGAATCTATGCTAATAAAGATATTCCTGTCTGATAAAATTCTAGAGAACAGTCCATACTAGAAAGAGGAGCTAATGTAAGCCTGCTTCCTCATAAATTCATAAAATGCCGTAAATCTCACTCTAGGGGAACATAGCTTCAGAAACTCACACATAGTTTTTAATGCAAAATACAGGAAAACTTGCTGTTCATATGGATGTGGTTAAAAGTGATATAATGTACTCTGAGAGATCCACGATAAGATACCAGAATAGACCTGAAGGCACAATAACTAGCAACAAAACAAAACATGTGCCTTTAGAAAAAATGTGTGGTCTTCTGTTGTGAGATTAGTGATTTCCAGCTTTTATAGCTCTGTGACGTTGGAAAAGTCACTGACCCTTTTTGGGCTGTTTTCTCATCTGTGACTATTTCACCACTCTCTCTCCAAAGCGTTGGACAGTGCTTGGTACAGAGCAGGCATTATCTGTTGACTAAATAAATGACTACATCCTAAGCAGGCCAAACTAGGCAATCCTAGAGTCCCTTTTAACCCGGGTACCTACGAGCTTTCCATTAGCTGGGCATCTTCAACTTAAAGGCTACCCCTCTTTGCTCAGGGATCTGTGTTGTGTTGTAACAGGAACCTGAAAATTATAGTTCCTCGTTGCAGATTCTTATTGCCCAATGGAGAACTTCCACCCATCAGTTTGGAAGGATTCAAATGCTTGTTTGCATCATGTCCTCTACCCCAGCACAAGCCTGAATTTTCCTAGCAGGGCTAGGATGAGTCTGAGACCCTAGGACTTAACTCCTGCGATGACTCTGAACTGCCATTTTAGAGGGGCTGCTTCTCTGGACTGGTCAGGAGCTGGGGATTCTAAAACCAACGAATCTTCCTCCTTGGCCCTCCAAATCTTCTCCCTCAAGTACGCAGGGCACTGAGCAATCTCAACTGCTACCTCTAACCTTGGGGGTTACTAAACTGAACCCCAAGGAGATGGTAAATGTAGACATCCAATATTAAACTAGGTTTACAACCTTGATACTGTAATAATGGTCTCTTCTCTCAAGGCTAGGATGGTACTTAGAAAAGTTTATTAAAATCTTAAGTGGCTCTAAAATATCAAGAAAATTATCAGCCAGTCTTATGCTGAAAATCAGTGTGCACAGATGTATTTCTTATTCATACTGAAATAAAGAAAATCATTCTTTGCATATTCATTTTCTCTTAACAAATATTAACATGTTAAAAGTTGAAGCCATTTGAACTACAGCCTTTCTCTGAGCTGGTCACTGCTTTTAATTGAAAGCAACTAGCCCATACAGTTAATTCCAGAATATTTTCTACCTAGACAGACTTGAAATATTTCTATGTCATCTAAATATTGCCTAATGGAGACATTTTCTAGTATTGCAATACTATAAACAATCACTATTCGACAGGAGGAAATATCAAAAACATGTTTAGAAAAAAAACCTACTCAACAGATTTATAAAACACTTTAGCTAATTAAAGCCAGAAAGTATGCTTCTAGATTCACCAAACTTGGGATAAAATAAAGTATTCATAGTTTGAATCAGTTGCAATCTACAAACCAAACTACCATACAAATACATATACACACATCATTCACAGGCACACACATTCACTGTCATCCACTTCTTCCCTCAGCAGTAAGTAGAAAGATGTTCCTCACCACAGTCCTCAGTATTATCCACTACCACCTAATATTATAATATTTTATAACTAATCTTGCTGGATGGAGAGATTCCACCCAACTGTGACTAAATTTTTGTAGAGGCAAGTGATTTTAACACTTGTGCTAGTTTGGCAGTACATGAAAGCTAAGATAGATACCAAATGTTGCATCTGACCAACTGACGTTTAAGTGAAAAAAAAAAAAAAAAAAAACTGCTGCAAAGGGAAAGCAGCTGTGAGTGGTATGAAAAGGAAGTTTGTTCTCCCAGCTCTCTTTCATCCACTTCAGGGGAATACTTTTCCAAGTCACAAGGGGAACATTCTGCATAGGGCAAAAAAAAAAAAAAAAAAAGGTTCACTGAGACTGTAACTCAACTGGTCAGTATTAAATAAGAAAGAATGTGGACCACGAACTCAATGCTGATTTGATCTCTCACAATTCTTCACAAAAACAAAAGCACCTGTTCATGTTGCTGGGAAAAGGGCTGCAGGAATTTTGCCTTAATCTTGCCTAAGGAAACCCCTCCTCAAGGAGTGCTCTGGACACCGGGGCCTCTCTGGCCCTTGTACTGCTCGACAATTAAACTGCTCGTTGTGAGTGTGCACCAAGAATTGCATGCACTTATCCCTCAGGGTTTCAGCAGAGCCAGCCAGTTTACAGTCCACTTATCCCTCAGGGTTTCAACAGACCCTGCCAATTTACAATCAGTGAAATTGCCTTCACAAATGTTTAAGTCATCTAACCAGTTTAACTAGTCAGATGTGTTCTTATCCTTTATCCCAATCATATGATCTTCATATGGACAATCTGTGATTATTATTAACACCAGCAATAACGAAATATTAGAACCTGAGAGTCTCTGGGCAATGCCATTGGCTTTTTAATGCAAGCCTCCATACCTCACCACACCAGTACAGAGCTATTCTTTTTTTGTTTCCTCAGGGGAAGATTTACCCCTCCTTTCTTCAGAAACTTATTCCATTATCTTCTAAACCTCATGGGAGGAAAAGCTGACTACTTGACATTTTGACGGTGACACCTCGTCTTGTACTCTGTCTTAGTATAAAAGCTTTTGAAAATTTGCACACAGCTATTCTATCACCCCTCAGTCTCTTGAAGCTTTGTGCCAACAGGAGCTGGAACATTGTAGGTGGAGACAAAGAAGCAGCATAAATGCAGAACTTATGACTCCCTAGGAAAAGTGAGACAGCCTAGCCCTGCTACTTTCCTCATGCCTCCTTCACAAGCCTCACACCTGGCCCGTACTCCGCAATGACAAAGGCATTTATCACTTTCAGGCTGAGGTGCAATCTCCAAAATAACTAGTCTGCTCAGAGTTCTTAAAAGTTTGCAGGAAAAATATGTTCCTGGGCTGCAGCACTGTAGCCCCAAAATGGTATTACAGTTGTATGCCCAGGTCAAGCGCCCCACTGCCCACCCCAGGCGACCCACACACACAGACCTCCACCTTCTCCCAGTCCCACTGATGACAGCTACACAAAGGCAGGGGCACAGGCACACCAATCACCCCCATAAACTCAGGTTCGACCTCAGACACACACAGGGACATGCAATCACGTGCATGGTCACATGAACCGACCCACTCAGGGCCACACTCACAAAGTCACACCGACAGAGGCAGCCGCGCACACTACAAACCATACTCACCTGCAGCCACAAACGCGTCACACACCCACATCCCCCGCTTCCCAGGGCCTCGCTCACCCCTCACCTGCCGTGGCCGCCCCCAGGCCCCTTTCCCTCCTCCCCAGGGCGGCTCTTCCCTCCACTACGGGTGCGGGCCTGGGAAGCTGCTGGGCCTGGGTCGGGGCCGGCGGCTTGAGCGCTCAGTACCCGCAAGCGCTGTGGACCTTTGGGGCGCGCTGGAGGGCCGGCCTCCGAGGGGCGGGGAGCGCAGCCAAGCGAGCCTCGGCCACCGCCCTCCCTCCCCCCGAATCGTTCGCGCAGCTGGCTCAAGCCTCGCGTTTCCGCGTTTGGAGGGGCGGGGCCACGCAGCGAGGAAGGGGTGGAGCTGCGTGACTCCGGCGGTCACCATGGCGACGGGGCGGGTTGGACCACTGGGTGAGACTCTGGCGCTCTATTGTACATCCTGCCGGGTGCGGAGTCGGCATCGGCTCTGGCGGTGGCGGCGGGCGCAGGGAGGAGGTCCGAGGAGCCTCTGGGTCAGTTCTAGGTCACCCATGTGACGTGAGCACCTAGGGAGAGGTCGTGGGACTGGAAGAAAGGGGCGCCTGACCCTTGAGATCTGCCTCCGCCTGCAGTTCGCGCCCTCTTGGAGGAAGCAGATGCCGACCTTTTCTCTCCGCCGTGTAAAGCTTTGTGGGGATCCCTTTGGGTTACAGGCTTTGATGAACAGGGCTTTGTATACTCTCTTTTCTTGGCAAGATTTTTTTCCTTTGGCACAGCTACAGACGCCCTCCCTAATCCTCCACTGTAACGCCCCCACCTCCCTTCCCTGACTTGTGCTGAGGTCCTGAGGATTTCCGGGAACAGCTCCCACTGAGCCTCCAGCTCCTTCATCACTTTCCCTTAAAGGAATAGAGAATATTAATCTATTTATAATCATTTTTCTTAAGATGTTGCAGAGGTCACGACTCTCCTTTTCAGTAAAATATTTGGAGGTATGAAAAGGTTGAGTAACATGTAAATCTCCTTGTTGGAAGTTTTTTAATGATCCTTCAACAAGATCCTGCTGAAAATGCCTCTCCCTAATCTGTGTTAGGGAAAACCTGTACCCTATTAAAGGCCTTTGCCTTTACCCTGGCAACTGTTTTGGGGATTAAGGTCAGGGGAGAATCCAAGTAAACTGCATCCTAAATCATGACCTCTGCCCTCCTGCTCAGGAGCCTTGGTTCCCAGTCTAGAACTTGGACAAATCCCAAACGAATTTCCCAAGAGCACAGTAACATATCCGCCTTTTTTTTCCCCAAATCACCTTTTCGGAATTTTGAGTCAGTAACAGAAAATGGTCTTCTATTATAAGCACCACATAGCTGCTATACAGGGAATGTTTTTGTGGAAGATTTTTAACTTTGGGACTTTTTCTAAAAAACTTGGAGAGGTTTAATGAATGGAATACCTGGCAAATCACTGGTTGTATTTATGTAAAATCCATTATGGGTACTCATTACATTGTTTATCTGTCTCCCCCAGTGGGCTGGGAGCTTTAATTTAGAGCAAAGTGAACGGAGTGATTTAACCAGTGCCTTAGCTATTATGACCTGGTTCATAATAAGTACTAAATGTGTACTGAATGAACTAATTAGCAAATAAAGAAATTTATCTGCTTGTATTCCTAAAGCTGTATTCCTTATATCCCATACTTCCAGACCTCACTTGAGTATCAGCCCTGAAGAGACATGAACTATGGATGTGCCCAAATGTATTAGAAGTCCTTATTCTGTTAGTTTGGTAATAATAATTTTTAACTTGACTGTTGATAATGGAAAACTATTTCGCTATGCAGATATGTTTCGTTATATGTATACTTTTATTAAAAGAATCAAACCCAAAATAATGAATGTTTTGTTTCCCTTAGAAAAGGAACCCATGGTCATGTTTGGATCTTCAGCTGGTCCATAACACATAGCAAGCACATTGTCCATTCCCTAATCTGAACAAGAAACATTTAGTATCTGTGAATTCCAGCTGTCCTGTAACTGCACAACTGCAGGAAGCAAACTTTTAACCCAGGGCAGGCCACAGTGCAGGCAGACCTGGTGGATACGGCTGGGAGGGTTTGCAGCTGCTGTCATGGTTGGGGTCTGCTAGATGGTTCCCACAGCACCGGTCCCTGTGTGAGAATCTCACTTTACAAACTGGAATGTTCACAAAATACTCTGTGAACACCGAGCAAAGTAAACAGGTGGCCAGCTGGTTCTCAAAATTGCCCAAACCCAAGCTCTTTTCCTCAAATTTATCTTTTGACAGGATATTTGTTTTAAAACACATGTGCAAAATAATCCTAGCTATCTCTCTTATGCACATATACATACCAAACAGAGTAGTGGTTACCTCTGAGGGGAAACTGGGAATAGAAGGGGTGTTGAAGGAGAAGCTGGCTTTAGATTTAGTATTTGAATTTATATAAGCATGTATCCATATGTTATTGTGTGACAAAAAATTACTTAAAAGCAACTATATTCATGCTTTAAATGCTGCTGTAAACCTGCTCTAAATCCTTCAATAGCTCCCTATTGCCTTCAAGCTAAAGTCCAAAGTGTATGGGCTACAGCAGGTCTGACTCTCCCAAAGGGCCCATTACACACTATGAGGTCTCAAACCTCTAGGCATTTGTGTATGCTCTTCCCTCCACTCAGAGTGTCCCCCCTCCACCAGAGTGAATCTCCCCTATTTTGCTCCCAGGAACCATGTGTGAAAAAGTAAAAGAGGAGCAAAACACTTAGTTTTTCACACTAATACCAATTCTTGGAATACCATCCTTTTAAGCTTTCCAGGGTACAATCAACTGTAGTGTTATATATCAAATTATGCTAAGAACCAAGATTGAAAATGAATGCTGTTTCCTCGTTGCCAGACCCAGTCTGTGACATACACATACTATACTGGATTAGAGGGATCAGACACAGAGTGGGGATTCTAAAACTGCCCAAGAAAGATACCGACATGACTCTTCTATAGTTTGCTACCTAAAGGTCCTATCAAACACGTTATATACAGTTATGTATAATTAATAATTTATTATCATTCGGGAGTTAAGAAACCTGAGTTCTATCCTTGGGCAAGACATTTCCTCTCTCTAGGTGTGGTTTTCTTTTCTGTAAAATGAGTCCAAAGTTAGACTAAATGATCTCTAAGTTCTTTCCAATTCTAAGATTTTAGATTCTATGTACTTATGAGAGCTACATTACAGAATCTTTACAACAGCCTTTCCTCAAAGCTGTTCTTCTCTGATAATCCCCCCACCGTCACTCCCTTCCAATCAAACTTAAAAAAAAAGAGTACCCTGGCCAGTGAGTTGCAACTAAGGAGCTCGCCTGCCACAACTAAGACCTGGCGTAACCAAATAAATAAACAAATAAAATAAATATTAAAAAAAAAAAGTATCCTGGGGCTTCCCTGGTGGCGCAGTGGTTGAGAGTCCGCCTGCCAATGCAGGGGACACGGGTTCATGCCCTGGTCCGGGAAGATCCCACATGCCACGGAGCGGCTAGGCCTGTGAGCCATGGCTGCTGAGCCTGCGCGTCCAGAGCCTGTGCTCCGCAGCGGGAGAGGCCACAACAGTGAGAGGCCCACGTACTGCCAAAAAAAAGTATCCTGAACACAAAAATGCCTGCTTATGGAAACAGTATTTTGACTTCTTCGATAAGTTAATGTCTGACTATTACTAACTTGGTAAAATAAAAGTTCCTAAGCAAAGGTACCACATCTTTTGTATCATCTGCCAACCTAGCATCTCATTAATGTTTCTTCCATAAATAACAATGCGATAACCTTCCGGAAAAAGAGCTGCAATTAAAAAATCCTGGGAAACAAGAGCTGCACTATTATACTATAAAATAAAGCAGCTTCTATCTGTAGGGCTCTAGAAAACTTTATGAATTCTTAGAGGTAATAAAGACAGTGATTAAATAGTAACTAAAATGGGAAAATCTTTTTGAAATTGTCTAGCCTAGTGCATGCATATGATGGGCACTCAATTAACATGTGCTCCTACTTCTACATTTCTGAGCACAAAAGCCTAATATATTAAATTCCTTGATCAAGGATAAAAACATTTGCAATAGAGGTAGGATACCAAAGTGGTTAGGCCCACAGACTGGTGTCAGACTCCCGGAGTGTGAATTCTAGCTCTACCACTTATTAGCTATCTAACAGTCTGGAAAAATGAGGATCAATAACATTACCTAACTCATAGGGTTACTGTAAATATAAAATGAGATAGTTCAGGTCGAGTCCTTAGCAACGAGACTAGCAATCAATAAACGTTGGCTAATAATAATGGCATTGAGAACCTGCTGTGTTCCAGGCACTGTGCTAGGTACATTACGTATACTATTTTTATTCCTCATGAGAATCCTTGCAAAGCAGGTACAATTTTCATTTCATAGATAAGGAAATAGATTCAGAGAGGGTGTGTTATCAGCCTCTGCTTAAGGTCAGTGGCAGGGCTCGTGCCATGTTTGTTGAATCTAAGACTCTACCTCTCAAAATCGTATCTCTTTCCCTTGAAATGGTTTGATAAATATAAAGAAAAATGGTGAAAATAGGTTGTACTTCCTTTAACACAACGTTTAAAAGCAATCAACATTCTTTCAGCAGGCTTTTTCAAGAGCTCAATTTTATGCTCAGGAACATTTCTTTTGTCCCTCAAATCGAACCAAGAATAAAATCCTTTTTAAACAAAATCTACAGTAGTCTTTGGGTGCTAATATTGTCACTAGCTAGCTGTTGCTGGACCCCCGTTTCATCATCTCCAGACTGAAATTTTGAGTACTAAATCATTGAGCCTTTCCCGCTCTAAAATTCTTTTCCTCCTGTTAGTCTAAAGGCATCTCAGCAAGTTGCTGCTGCCATCCAGAGGAGAAAATATTGTTGCAGGCCCAAAGAAGTCATTATAGCAGTGTTAGACTGTGGTGACAAAAATAGCTACCATTTATTGTCTACTGTTTGCCCCGTGCTTCCCTGGGCATATTCTATATGTATTTCTATTCTGCAAGATAGAATGCTTTTACATTCTACCTTTGTTTTTAAACTGAGAAATCAGAATTTAAAAAAATTTATTTTGGTTGTGCCACACACGGCATGTGGGATCTTAGTTCCCCAAGCAGGGACTGAACCTGTGCCCCCTACAGTGGAAGCAGAGTACTAACCACTGGACCACCAGGGAATTCCCAGAATTTAAATTTTTTAAAATTTGTCCTGGGTCACCCAACTAGCCATGAGGAACTGAACTGTTTTGAGCCTGATGTTTTTTCAGCAATGACAAGAATCAAAATAGAAGCATC